AGTCTGCCTCCTTAATAATCCAACACTTTAGTGTCAAGAGAGTTAGGGAAACAACTTTAAGTTTACAAAAGGTCTATTCAGTGTGGCACTCACGATTGCGGATTTGGGGTGCTTTGGAGGAAATATAGTGGTAGAAGACCTTCTCGACTATGTGGTTTGTGCCAAGATTTATCTGTATGGAGTTTTACCTTTATGATCGTTATGTGTAAATAGGGTAAGAATCGCCCTCAAAGAATAATGAAGATGTGACGACCCAAAGGGTCATCACCATGGTTCTCCCTTTTTCCGCGCTTCCGAGGCCTTGGAAACCTCACTTTTGGTTCCCTCGATTTGCTTGCGCACTCCGGGCGCGAAGCCAAAAAATTTTTGTGTTAAAATATATGAATTCTGTGAAAAATTTGGTGAATTATGATATTAATATTGATATAGTTGACTTTGGTCAACATTTTGGGTAAACGGACCCGGACCCGTGATGTGACTGTCCCGGGAGGTCCGTAGAAAAATATGGGACTCGGGCATGTGCCCGGAGTCGAAATCCGAGGTCCAGAACCCCGGTAAAAGAATTTTTCTGATAAATTGTTTTCTGAAATTAATAAGGAAAAATGGAAATGAAAATGAGTTAGAAAATATAGGTATCGGGCTCGTATTTTGGTTCCGACGCCCGGTACAGGTCTTAAATATGCGTTAAGCGCTTCCTGTGAAATTTGGTCGAAATCGGACGTCGTTTGACGTGTTTCGGACCTAAATAGCTAAAGTTGAAGGTTTAAGAAGTTTGAAATGAAAATTGATGATTTTGAGGCTTGATTCATTGATTTTGATGTTATTTTGGCGATTTGATCGCTCGAGTTAATTCGTAGGATGTTATTGAGTTAGTGTGTGTGTTTGGTTAGGAGCCCCGAGGGCTCGGGAGTGTTTTCGGAGGTGTTTCGGGGTGTTTGAACTTAAGAAAAATTGCAGAAAACTGCTGTTGCTGGTGTCCAGGTAAATTTCCCTCTGCGATCGCATACACCTTTCTGCGATCGCGTAGGGTTACTTGATCAGGTCCATTTTCTGTTCTATGCGATCGCATGAACTCCTCCGCGATCGCGTACCTTAGCCCCTTCGTTCTTTGCGATCGCATTAAGCTTCCGCGATCGCGTTTCATTAAACCAACCCCGGTATGCACAACCCCTTTTCTTCTATGCGTTCGTATGACCACTTCTGCGATCGCAATGGTCAATTTTCCCTTCCCCTATGCGATCGCAAGCCTCCTTCTGCGATCGCATAGAGTAAATACGCCCAGTGATTTTTTTTTTAAAATGTTCAAAACAGAATAGTTTCGGGACTTAGGCATTTTTCTCCCGAACCCTCTTCTTCCCCAAGCTTTAGGACTCCATTGAAGCCCCCACTCTTCAAGATCACTTGAGTAAGTAATTTCCCACTTATTTCCTTCACTTTTCCTTCATTAATTAGCAAGTTTCTAAGCCTAAATCATGAAATCAAGGTAGAAACTAGGGCTTTTGGGTAGAGTTAGGTTTCTGAAAATTTTGGGCGATTCAACTCAATTTGGGGTCGAATCTTGAAATAAATTATATATTTGAACTCATGGGGTTATGAGTGATTGGGTTTTGGTCCGAGCCTCGTGTTTGGACCATGTGGGACCGGTGTCGAATTTTGGTGTGTTTGGGAAAATGATTGGAATTTCATTTCTAGGCTATGAGATTATGTTTTTGAGCCCTTATTGATATTATGGAACTAATTATGACTAGATACCATTGTTTCGGAGTCGGATTGTAGAGGAAAGGCGGTATTTGAGGATTGATTGCTATTCTTTGGACCGAGGTAAGTGTTTGTTCTAACCTTGGATTGAGGGAATAGGATTAGAATGCTATTTGCTACTTGCTAAATGTGGAGTACGGTGTATAGGCATGGTGACAGTTGTCTATGCACCGGAGTCTAGCATGACCGTGAGTCTTAATTGCTTTTAATTCGAATGATGTGACACCACTACCTTGTCTAATCGATAAATTTCATATAATGTAAACGGTTGAGGAAGAATTGTGATTGATATATTTTGGAGCGTTGGCTCGAACAAGAATGTAATAGTAGAGAAAGAAGTGATTTAAAAGAGGGTGTGTTGTGATTATTCCCTTGCCGGGACGTGTAGACTATTATTACGTATTCTCCCTTGCCGGGATATTTGGGCTGTTAGCTGTACCCTTGCCGGGCTAAAATGTTATGTTGTCGAATTGCCCAAATGGGGCCTTCTTTACAAAGTCAGACATTTTGAGCTATAATATGGGATCGTGTGGCACGCCGTCCACTTATATACTATAATATGGGATCGTGTGGCACGCCGACCACTATATACTATAAAATGGGATCGTGTGGCACGCCGACCACTATATACTATAAAATGGGATCGTGTGGCACGCCGACCACTATATATTATAAAATGGGATCGTGTGGCACGCCGACCACTATATATGAAAACATGGAATAGTTCTGCTGTTATTTCTAATAATTCGTTTTCATCTGTTATTCCCGAGCATGCCCCCTTCCCAGCTTTACTTGATATCTTCTGTTATTATTTCCGTTGCTCTTGTATATGTGTATATATATCTGTACAGGTTGTTTTTGGTAGTCCTGTCTAGCCTCGTCACTACTTCGCCGGGGTTAGGCCAGGCACTTACCAGCACATGGGGTCGGTTGTGCTGATGCTACACTCTGTGCATCTTTGTACACAGATCAGGGAGCAGCTTTCGGACCGCAGCAGTAGGATTTGCCGGGAGCTATCTTCAGTTCAGGGACTCACGAGGTAGCCTAGCAGGCGTTCGCAGGCCGAAGTCCCTTCTATGTTTTAGTTTGTTTACCTTGTATCGAACAAACACTATGTACTTCCTTTCAGACTTGTTTTTAGCATTCTATAGTAGTTCGTGAGCTAGTGACAACAGACTCTGGGCAGAACTATGTTTCAAACTTCCGCACTTTTGGTTTACAGTTGTGTTAATCTAAAATCTTCCGCTTATTTATTGTTCTCATGTATTGTATTGTTCGAATGAAATCAGTAAAAATATTTTAAATGTTTGGCTTGCCTAGCTCCGATAGTAGGCGCTATCACGATTCCCGATGGTGGGAAATCCGGGTCGTGACATTAACGCAATAAGCTCACCGTGGNAAGTTGTACGGTACTATACCCGTATTTTTATAATTTAGCTCGATATCAGTTGTTTGATTTAAATTTTTCGGTCCACCTTCTTGTTGAGAACTTTTTTTTTCGTGTTCAAGTTTGAACACCCTTGAATAATTTTCTGGCTTCGCCACTGCCTCGGTGGGGGTGTTGTGGCATGGAAATCAGCTAAACAAACTATAATAGCTAGATCTACCATGGAATCTGAGTTTGTGGCATTGGAATTAGCTGGCAATGAGGCCGAGTGGTTAAAGAACCTTTTGGCGAGTATTCCACTAGGAATTAAATCGACACCTTCTGTGTCGATGCATTGTGATTGCCAAGCTGCAATAGTCATTACCAAAAATAAATCCTTTAATGGGAAGAGTAGACATATCCGATTGAGACATAATGTGATAAAGCAGCTGCTAAAAGATGGAATTATTTCCATAGATTATGTGAAGTCAGAAGTGAATTTGGCCGATCCTCTGACTAAACCTTTGGGAAGAAAATTAATATCTGAAACATCGAGGGGAATGAGACTTTTGCCAATTTGAATTATATCAACTATGATGGTAACCCAACCTATGTGATTGGAGATCCCATGAAGTAGGTTTATATGGGTAATAACAAGTCATTAGTTGATTAAATGTGCACTATTAAATTATATCCCTTCCTACGGTGTGTGTATATATAGTGCAAGACTGCAAGGAATGGGAGGCTGAGTTATTAAACTCTTAATCCAATAATCCATAGCCTTTTGTAGGTGGTGTATTGCACTGCAGAATACACTTGATGGATGGACCTATATGAGTGTGGAGTGGGGTCGCTCCTATGAAATTTGTGGCGAAATTTCTAGAGCACTCATGAAAACCAGGCGCGCGCATGGCCTATTAACGCAAAACGGTGACAAACAACAAAGTGTGTGCGGGTATAATGTGATGGATAAGACACTAAACTTACAAAAGAATTCTTGGTTCATAGAAGTTCTGAACTTCATCATTTATTCTGTAAGTTTAATCTTATTTTATCTAGGTCTGGTTCATAGTCCAAGAGACACCAGATTCGACGCATTATGCTCTTTTGTGAAACCCAGCAAATTATTTTATTATTTTATTATTATTATTTTTTATATTCTTTTTGAGATATGTGGGGGATTGATAGAAAAATACTTTTGATATCTCAAAAAGAAATATTCTAAAATTATGTCTAGATTCATTTTCTTACTATTATATTAATGAGTCATTATAGTAATTATTTTAAAAATATTTATAACAGAAAATTAGTTTAATTTTGAATTCAATTTGGGACAAAATAAATTAGACAATTAAATACTCATTAGTATGGATTTGTACATTATCATACGTTACTATCATTTGTCAACGTATTGCTTTTTATGGATTGCTTTGTTAACATATATTGATTTGTTAACAATTAAATGATAGCTATTAGTATCATTTGTTAAAGTATTGGTCTATATGGATTAATTTTATAACAGAAAGCTTTAATGGCTTGTTTTGATTGTTATTGTAAAGTTTTTGGAGTATACATATACTTGTAGTTTTTTATCTTTGAAAAAGTAGAGTGAACATAACAAAGCTAAAAAATTTCTTCCCTTTTCTTTGTGCTGGGTTTTCTTTTCGTTAATCTTTGTTGTTTCTGCTCCTAGTTATACTAGAGAGCTTGTTGAATCCTGGGGGATACGCCTAATATTATTCATCTTCATGTGGGCGAAATATCCTTAAAGACACGCCTCAAGCTAAACCTTTTATTCTCCATAATCATCCAAATTTTTCCAACAAATTATAGTTATTACACATTCTTTTTTCTTTCCAAAGTTACCACCCACGGTTCAATGACGACCCAACGAAAAGGAGGAGGAAATGGAGGCATTGTTAGCAGAAACAGGAATAACTGCACTTGGAATATTCAATAAAGTAGCTGGCCTAACCCTAACGCAATTAATAGGCTTCACTGCCAATACATGAGCTGCACTTGGTGTTCTTGTTATCAATGGTGTTTGTGGAATTATCCAAACAGTTGACGCTGCCGCCATTGAGTTTATTCTTGTAGGAACAGCGAACATTGACACGTGTGGCACTATTGTCTGACTTGGTACTATCGACATAACCGGAGCCAAAAAAGTTGTCACTTTCTTAGACTTCACGTCAGTAGTACAACTGCATGTAGTAGTCATAGTTGCATGGCAACTTCTTTGTTTAACGTCGATAAATTCACTGTTAGTACAACGGTTGCGTTTCCGCGTTAAAGGGTCATTTTTAGTGGTGGGGATTTTGAGGATGCCGTTAACTGAGACGGCGATGGCAGGGGTAGTGCCTGTGCCAGTGGCGGAGATGATAGAAGGTTCAGCATGTTGTAAGAGCCACTGAATAGTTTGGCCGTCAGTTTTGTGACCAAGTTCACAGGTAAGTTGAAAGACTCTGGCGGCGCATGTTGCCGGCATTCTTATCCTCAGCCCTCTTCCTTCCAGGCAGTGGCGAAGCCAGAAAATTATTCAAGGGTGTTCAAACTTGAACACGAAAAAAAAAAGTTCTCAACAAGAAGGTGGACCGAAAAATTTAAATCAAATAACTAATATCGAGCTAAATTATAAAAATACGGGTAATAGTACGAACAATTCGATATAACGAAACTAATATAAAGAAGCGTCGAAAAGAGATTCTACTTATTACAAACGTACTCGACGAGGCTTCATCTCTTGAAATGTTTTTATAATAGACTCATTAGAAACAATACTAAATGCTTCTCTTTCTACATAAGGCACTATACAACCGCCTAAAAAGTCATCATCCATTCGATTCCGCAAGTCATTCTTAATAAACTTCACTGCTGAGAAAGCTCTTTCAACGGTTGCAGTGGCAACAGGAAGAAGCAACGCAAGTTTCACTAAGAGGAATACAAGAGGATAAACTGAATGCTTCTTTGTCTTAACTAATCTTTTTGAAAGATCAGAACCCATTTAGATTGGAGAACCTTTCATCAAAATCACGAACATCAATAATGTAACTCGCAAGCTGATTCTCAAGAGCATTCATCCTAAATTCATCAAAGTCATCAGGATAAAATTCAGCCATCTTCATTATTTTTCTGATATCAAAACTTGAAAATGCGTCAATTGGATTCAAACAAGCAAATCCATGAAGCAACTCAGTCGTCACTTCGTCAAAATGATCATTAAGTTCTTGAACTTGCCAATCAAGAACTTTACAAAACACACAGGTTTTCGCCGTGATCTTCCAGAGTTAACATATAGATCATCAAAATTAGGCACCAAAATATCATGCTTGATACAAAACATAGAAACTTTATCAACAAACAAATCCCATTCATCATCCCTCCTTAAAGTTTGCAATCTTTTCTTCGCTACTTGAACAAGTAGCATGGCATTTGCAATATCTTGCTTTTTTTTTTTTTGTAAGGATACATCAACTCATTTGTGATCCCCAAAATATCTGTCATTAAATGCAACAAGAAAGCAACCTTATATGTTTGACAAGCTTCGAGATACCCTGATGCCTTAGCTCTATCATCTAAAGTACCTGCATCTTCAACAAGTGTATCAAGAACATCAACAATAGAGCCAAACATACGAATAAAGTTTTCAAACGACTTGTAGTGAGATCCCCAACGAGTATCCCCAGCTCTAACAAGACCGAGTTCTTGATTCAAGCCTTTACCTATTTTTAGTTCACCCATATCTAATGCCTCTTGGAGTTTTTCTTTTTGAGAACCTCTAAATTCATCCACACGTTTAAAAGAAGCTCCCAACACATTCAAAATATTTGAAACCAATAATACAAGTTCACCTACTTGAACACACTTCTTAGAAACCGCAACTAGAGTCAATTGAAGTTGATGTGCAAAACAATGAATAGAATGAGCCGATCTACTTTCTTGTTTAATCAACTTCTTAAGACCTTTAATATCACCTTGCATATTGCTTGCCCCATCATAACATTGTCCGCGTATAGAAGATAAACTTAAAGAATGATGAACAAGTACATCGACAATTGCTTTCTTTAGAGATAAAGCACTAGTATCTCGAACATAAACCATGCCAATAAACCTCTCCATCACACTTCCTTTTTTATCGACATACCGTAAAACAATAGCCATTTGCTCTTTGCGTGACACATCTAAAGACTCATCAACTAATAAAGTAAAGTAGTCACCATTTAGATCCTCTATTATAGCCTTAATAGTTTCTATCTTACATGCGGTCACAATTTCTTTTTGAATATCTGAAGAAGTCATCTTATTGTTTTTTGGAGCATGTTTCAACACAAAGGGTTCAATCTTGTCACATTTAGCCGCATACCATGAAAGAATTTCAATAAAATTACCTTTGTTCAATGACGTTTCACTTTCATCATGACCGCGAAAAGCAAATCCTTGAGTCAAAAGAATCCTTACCACATCAACTGAAGCATTTAAGCGAAGCCAATACTCACGCTTAGTTTGATCAGACTGTTTGTCAAATGCAGCAATAATAGACTGTTTTTGCTGCATTAGATCATCGCAATTTCTATTTGCTTTATTGTGAATACTATTTGGCAAACCAACACGTTTCTTAAAACATTCTTTTTTGTTCCAATTCCTAAACCCTTTACTCGAAAAAATATCACCACCATCTTGCTGAATACTTTCGCCCTTAAATAAATAACAAGGTAAATAATATGCAGCATCGGTACTTACACTATACTCCAACCAATTAAATTCATCAAACCATAGAGGATTAAAAAGACGCATAAATTCAGAAAAGTGAGATTGAGGGAAGTCATGATACCGAGGTTGGCAAGCACCACCTTGAATGTATGCCCTCCTTATTTCATCGCGATGGTTTGGATGATACTCCAATATTGGAGTTCTTTCAGCTGGGTCGGACTGTGGAGCAATTGTATCAATTTCTTGTCTTAGAGAAGAATGCGAGGGAAACTCTGATTGATCGGCATTTTGAGACGCCGAACTTATTTTTGATACTTTGTTGTAAAATTTCAGCAAATTCATTGCAACTTCAATCTGTTGAATGTATAAACTAGTTAAAACATATTACTCCTCAACAATTAAATAAACAAAAGGAACATATCAACAATTTGTGTTTGAACTTACAACAAGCAATATACATAAATGCTAACTAATTACTTATTACTCCCAGTGTACTGTCCCAAAAATATTTATCACACCAAAAATCAGAGAAATTTACTGAAACTTTGAAGCAAACAAGGAAAAGAAAAGACGAGATTCGAAGCGAAATTCGAACCAGTTCAATACTTCAATGGCAGAATGGAGTTGCAGAGTTGGACTTGGACACTGGAATCTGGACAGTCGGTAGAGAGCAGAGCAGTAAGAACTTTCAGTCTTTAGATGCAGACCGTGAAGAATGAGGAATTGGAGATGGATTTTGATTTTAGGGATTAGATTTGTTTATTCCCAATTTTTGTTTTATACAGATATGTAATCTGTTTATTCCCGATTTTATACTATAAAGCAAGTCAAACAAAGAAAACGACGTCGTTTGTTTTGCTGTCTTTAAAAAGAATTGTACAGCAACAAAAATGAAAAAATGTCGAGCTGCGGGTTCGATCCTGCGTCCCTGAGGCAGTTTTGACCACCCTTTGCCACTGGGCTATGGTTCTTCATTGTTACAAGGGTGTTCAATATGTATTACATATATAAATCCTAATATTTTACCTATATACATTACACGGTATTATTTTTCGACGAAGGGTGGTCAGTTGACCACCCTTGCTACCATGTACCTTCGCCCCTGCTTCCAGGGCGGTCCTTCCATAAAGCAAGTAAAACAACTATTTTAAGCACCGCATTTGTGGAGGCCTTATTTTTTGTTATACTTAAATAGACTATGTATAAGTTTAAAAAGAAGTTCTGAAGTGAAAAAGTTTAATTTCTTTCTTTAATAAATATAGAGAATAAGGAATTGCAATTGCTATGATTTTTCCAAGAAAATTGCACTTGAAATGAATATTGAACCCGATTTTTGTAAGAAACGTGTGATATATAGGAAGTAAGAATTCGATGAGAATGTTGATAAAAAAATCTCAAAATCTTTCGAAGAGTCCTTTGGAGTTGATTACTTTTATACATAGTAGACAAGACTATTTTTTTCACTTCAAAAATAGATTTGAACAATTCGAAGCATATGAAATATTTTTGATTTTCTATTTAGGGGTAAAACTTAAAATCACCAAATGATGGAAATTTGAAAAAATATTGTCTTAATCTTGAATGTTCCTTTAAGCATAATAATCAATTCGATATTGATGGTTTAGATTTATTTTTTGAATTAAATGTATGAAGGAAAATACTACAATTAGAAGATAACAATTTAATTCATACACTCAATTCAATAAAACGATTTGATTCTTTTTCAAATGCCTTTATTGCTTATGGAATTATGTTAATAACTCTTGTTACCGTCACTTCAGCGGAAAAAAATTTTCAAAATTAAAATTAATAATATCGTACCTAAGATTAATAATGTCTCAAGAAAAGTTAAATGGATTAGCTATATTATCAATTAAGAAAGACTTATTATGAGTTATTGATTATAAAAAATTATTAATAACTTTTTATATAAAAAAAGCAAGAAAAATAAACTTCAAATAAATGAATAACTTTTTGTTAAAAAAAAAAGTTAAGGCCCCTCATAAACTTTGGTTTTAGGCCACAAAATTTGTCGGGCCGCCCTCGCTTCCTTCTACCTTGGTGTGTCGGTCTTTTGTAGACGTAGCAGCCTTGTTATGCGGTGGCGGTGGCAGTTGTGGTGGTGATACCGACTATTTCAGTGTTGGGGTGGGTAGTGTCACTTTGATAATGGGTGGTGCCGGCGGTTTCTGATCAGTCATGTCATGAGGCTCTTGCTTGGGAGATATTAATGGTGTTGTGACTGGCGGAGCCACCTATCGACTCCGTGCCGATGGTGGAGCTGCGATGCACGACTTATTAATGTTGTTGTTTGTAGATTCCATGGGGATGGAGACATGGAGTGTGTTTGTGCAGCTTGCATGGCTTATAAATAGAACGCGACTCATTGCTCCTAAAGACGGGCTACGCTTTAATTTGTGTAGAACCAATAAATGTCACCACGTTGAATGAGGGGGTTCTGCCCTCTATACGTATCTGTTAAGATTAGAATGCAATGTTTTGTAATTATTTATCTAGTGGCCATTTTTGTAATTGTGGCTATGGCTATTATTGCAACTGGTTAGTTAGGTTGTTAGTGGTAGTTGGTGTTCGTTTAGGCGGTTAAGAAGTGAAGTGACAGCTGTACAATATAGCGTCTAGTATATAATTGAGTAGGATTATTGTTTTCATTTTTCTTAATGTGAAATCTTCCCAAAATCTGAATAGTTCTCGAAGCTTCTGTTTTCTCTCTGCATTTCATGGCTTTCAGCCATGGCAGTTGAGCTCGAGCTCAACTACTGTTCACTAATTCTTCATTATTCACATGGTATCAGAGCATAGGATTTATGTTCTGAGGTAATTCACGATTCTCTCTTGAATTCTAAGTTGAAATTTCTAGGTTTCTTCGAAATCGCTAAACTGCTTGAAATTTTTTAGTCGAAACTGCTATAGTCAGTCGAATCTCGTCTCGTCTATTGGCAACAAATTTGTTAATAATCTCAGCTCGTGTTCTTCACGAAGCAATTGTATCTGCTGAATTTCCATTCCTCATTTTTGAATCGCGGTCAAATCAATTGAGATTTCCGATCTAAACAAACAATGGCTGGAGATAAGGAGAACACTGTGGAGAAGGACAATTTAGATACATCAAAACCCCTTTACATGCATCCATCGGAGAGTGCATGTTCAGTGTTGGTACCTGTGGCCTTTGATGGCGCAGGATACAGGTCTTGGAGAAGAGGTGTACTTAGAGCTCTTTCAGTAAAGAACAAAGTTGGCTTTATAACTAGAAAGTGTCAGAAGCCAACAGTAGGACATGCGACTTTTGATCAGTGGAAGCGATGTGATGATATGGTCACTTCATGGATCTTAAATTCCCTTTCAAAGGATCTAGCGGATAGTTTGCAATACGTGAGTGATGCAAAGGAGCTGTGGCAGGAGTTGGAAGAGAGGTATGATCAGACTAATGGAGCAAAACTCTATTAGCTTCAGAAGGAAATAAATGACTTGAGTCAAGGAACCCTTGATATAACGGGGTATTACACAAAGATGAAGAAGTTATGGGAGGAATTGAACACATTGAATGCACATGCACAGTGCAGCTGCCAGTGCACCTGTGGAGCTAAAGCCAACATGCACAAGGCTGAGCAAGATAGGAGGTTGATACAGTTTTTAATGGGCCTAAATGAGGTATATACTGTCGTGAGAGGGAGCATACTGATGATGAATCCTCTCCCAAGCATTGCTCAAGCTTTCTCTATTCTCATACAAGAGGAGAAACAAAGAGAAGTTAAGCCACAAAATCAACAATTAGTAATTGAATCCACATCATTGAATGTTAATAGTCCAGGAAACAACACCTTTAGGACAAATTATAACCAACATACTGGAAACAATAGCTATGGAAGAGGCTACATGGGGAATAGGCCTAGGCCATTCTGTGATTTCTGTAAGAGGCCAGGACACCCTAAAGAAAAATGCTATAAATTACATGGATACCCTCAGAATTTGAAGTACAACAATAGAAACAGGGGAAGGAAACTAGCAGCAAATGTATTTGAAACAGCAAATGATGGAGCAGGTATGCCAGATGAAGGAGGAACTCATCAAGAGTAGGGCAGGACTATGCAGCAATTAAGCAAAGAGCAATATGGACAACTACTGAGCATATTGGAGACCTTTAAGAATGGAAACAATGGAGACAATTCTGGAAATATAAGCATGACTGGAGGAGCTGTCAATTTTGCAGGTATGACTGCTTGTCATTCTTCTATTGAGTCAAGTAAACAGTCTTATGAAAGTTTCAAGGAAAATGCTGATTCATGGATCCTTGACTCAGGAGCTACTAACCATATGACCTATAACAAAGCCTCACTGAGTAATGTCAAAACCTTAACTTACCCTTTCTTAGTATTTTTACCAAATGGTTACAAAGTAAAGGTGACAGTAATTGGAGATGTCATTCTCAGTCCTCACTTCACCCTAAAAAGAGTTCTATATGTGCCTAGTTTCAAGTTCAACCTAATTTTTGTTCATTTCTTTGACAGTCCAACTTGATTGCATCATTATATTAACTAAATTCTCATGTATTCTTCTACAGGGCCTTTCACTGAGGAGGCCTCTGGAGATTGGTAAGGCTAAAGGCAGCCTCTACCTTCACCATTCAAGTTCAGGAAAGAGTAATTCTTCTGTTGTAGATAAGATTTCCACCACATAACTCACACACAACTCCACACCTAATACAATCACCTTAGGTAGTCACAACATCAATAATGTACACACTTCCATTTGTCCTTGTAATTCAGCACCTAGTGCATCCATTTCTCCTCATGTTTGTGATGATAAAAGTGTACAAGATTTTCTGAAATCCAATAAAGGTGCAGATTCAGTGTACAATGCATATGTCTCTAATGAAAATTCTGTGGATTTCTTGTGGCATAATAGGCTGGGCCATGTGCCTTTTATCAAAATAAAGGGTATCAACTCTATACCAATAACCTTTGCAAATAAACAACCTTTTCTGTGTACCATATGCCCCATGGCCAAACAAACTAGACTCCCCTTCCCAGACAAAACCACTTCTACAACCAAGATTTTTGAAATCTTGCATGTGGATATGTGGGTCCCCTATCATGCACCAACTCATGACAATCACAAGTATTTCATCACCTTGGTTGATGACTATAGCAGGTGCACTTGGACACACCTAGTAACCAGCAAAAGCAATGCCTTGCATGTCATAAAAGCCTTCTGTGCAATGGTCCAAAACCAGTTCAATACTTCAATAAAAGCCATTAGAACTGATAATGGTTCAGAATTTGTGAATGCTGAAACAGCCATGTTTTTCCAAACCAAAGGAATCATCCACCAGAAAAATTGCCCTTACACTCCACAACAAAATGGCATAGTGGAGAGAAAACATAAATATCTGCTGGAAACTGCAAGAGCACTCCTATATCAATCCAAATTACCCCTAAGGTATTGGGGGAATGTATCCTAACCTCCACCTACCTGATTAACAGACTACCATCCACATCCCTCAGAGGAAAATGCCCCTTTGAAGTCTTATATAAGAGGAAACCAAACTACTCACATCTTAGGAGTTTTGGCTGTCTATGTTTCCCTACAAACCTAAAACCACACGAAGAAAAATTTGAATCAAGAACCTCACCCCATGTATTTGTATGATACCCCTTTGGATCAAAAGGATACAAGGTCCTCAGCCTAGCCACAAGGAAAATACATGTCTCTAGAGATGTGATCTTTTATGAATCAGTTTTTCCCTTTACATTGCCAGGAAAGCAGACTGACTTGGCATCCAGATATGAGCATCTACCTTTTTCTTTTCCTCATATAGGTCCTAGCATGAGTCATGTTGATAGTGTTGATTCTGTTCCCAGTCCTAATGAAAGTGATTCTAATCAACAATTAATGTCACCTGGACTTTCATTTGGTAATGATAATATTGATAACATTCATGAATCTGCACCACCATATCGACCAAATCACCAAAGCTCCTCCAGCTCAAATGAAACCTCCAACACATCCCCTGAACCATATTTTCACTCCCAAGACAAAAACCAATCTTTTTAGAGTGATTCACCAGTCTCTGCACAACCTGAGCAAACTGTAAGACCAACACACAACAGACCTCAAAGAACCCACAAACTCCCTAGCTACTTGAAAGATTACATATGCAAAGCTCCCACTCTCAACATGAATGGTGAGACACCAGTAGCAGACAATAGTCATAGTTCACCTTCTTTCTCCTTTTACACACATGTTCCCCAATTGCAACCTATTTCTCTCAATGCACTGAGCACTGATAGTCAGCATTTACTTGAGACTCTCTCTATTGACTGTGAGCCTGAATCATATGAAGAGGCAGCGGCCATACCTGCCTGGCAACAGGCTATGAATCAGGAATTTGATGCACTTTACTCAAACCATACTTGGGATCTTGTTCCACTTCCCACAGGAAAAAGGGCAATAGGTTGCAGGTGGGTATACAAAATCAAACATAAGGCAGATGGCAGTGTAGAGAGATTCAAAGCTAGGCTAGTTGTTAAGAGTTATACTCAGCAGGCAGGAATAGATTATAATGAGCCTTTCTCACCAGTTGTAAAGATGACTACTGTCAGAACACTAATTAGCATAGCAGCAAAGAAGCACTGGGAGATTTTTCAGCTTGATGTGAATAATGCTTTTTTCATGGAGATTTGAATGAAGAATTATATATGCAAGTCCCACCAGGGCTGTCAGTAGACAACAAGAATTTGGTATACAAACTAAACAAGTCATTGTATGGATTGAAGCAGGCAAGCAGACAGTGGTATGCTAAGTTGACTGAGGCCTTATGTTCTAGGGGATACATGCATTCCATGCTAGACTACTCCTTGTTTTATAAGAAGTTAGGCAATTCAGTGGTCTTTGTGGCAGTTTATGTGGATGATGTGCTCTTGAAAGGGACAAACTTGGATGAAATTAAGGCATTAAAAACCTTTCTGCATGAGTCATTTAGGATAAAGGACCTGGGGAGACTGCATTACTTCCTAGGCTTAGAGATCTTGTACAAACCCGATGGAGTAATAATCACACAAAGAAAGTTTACAAAAGACCTGATACAGGAATTTGAATGTGCACACTGTCCTCCAATGTCCTCCCCACTTGATCCTTCAACAAAGCTAAAGGCAAGTGAAGGAAATTTGCTCACAGATCCCACTCAATATAGGAAGTTGGTGGGGAAGCTAAACTTTCTCACCAACACTCGACTTGGCATTGCTTATAGTGTTCAACATCTCAGCCAATATATGCAGAGTCCTCGAGACTCCCATTTCAAAGCTGCTATACATGTTCTCAGGTAATTGAAAGCTGATCCTGGTATGGGAATTTTCTTGTCCAACAATGCAGATTATAGATTGCGAGCATTTTGTGACTCAGATTGGGCCGTTTGTCCTGAGACCAGAAAGTCTGTCAGTGGGTTCATTATGTTGCTTGGGGACAGTCCAATTAGCTGGCAATCAAAGAAACAATCAACCGTGTCCTTAAGTTCTGCTGAGGCAGAGTACAGGTCAGCAAGGAAGGTAGTTGCAGAGCTTTTTTGGTTGTCTAAACTTCTGGAAGAACTGACAATGCCTTTAACCTTGCCTATTCCAATCTACTGTGATAATCAAGCAGCTTTACATATTGCAAAGAATCCAGTTTTCCATGAGCGGACCAAACACATAGAGGTCGATTGCCATTTTGTAAGGGACAAGCTCATTGAGGGCCTGATATCTCTGCACTATGTTCATACAGATGACCAACTGGCTGATATACTCACCAAGTCGTTGACAAGCATTAAACACTCCTCACTACTTCACAAGTTGGCAGTGAGTACCTCCCTTCCAACTTGAGGGGGGTGTTAAGATTAGAATGCAACGTTTTGTAATTATTTATCTAGTGGCCATTTTTGTAATTGTGGCTATGGCTATTATTGCAACTGGTTAGTTAGGTTGTTAGTGGTAGTTGGTGTTCGTTTAGGCGGTTAAGAAGTGAAGTGACAGCTGTACAATATAGCGTCTAGTATATAGTTGAGTAGGATTATTGTTTTCAATTTTCTTAATGTGAAATCTTCCCAAAATTTGAATAGTTGTCGAAGCTTCTGTTTTCTCTCTGCATTTCATGGCTTTCAGCCATGGCAGTTGAGCTCGAGCTCAACTACTGTTCACCAATTCTTCATTATTCACGGTATCCGCTGTGAGAATACTCTTTTGCACATGTTATTTACATCAAATCATATAATTTAATCTTAAGATCAAGTCATAGATTGAAGCAAAAATACATTTTATCTAATCATAATTAAATGACACTCCTAAAATTATACATGCAAGACAGATATCTTATATTCACTGATTTGGTGCAAATTGAACATAGCATAAGGGTAATTTTTCCCCCTACCTACCCTAAATATTGGAAATCGGCCAAGGATGGGATTAGGGGATGGGTGGAGTTGTCAAAAGATTTTTAAAATTGACCAAATCCATCGAATTGGTATCTACTGTTTTAGAATACATACCGCTCAATTAGGGTACCATCTCTAGTTGATGTGCTCATATGTGTTTAACCAAAAAATAGGATTTTAGTCAAAACTAGAATTTAGAAGAATCGGGTTACTGATAATCAAAAAAGTAAATAAAGAAAGAAATTTTAGAGTAACCAAGTATGAAAGCTGGTAAATCAAAGTATATTCCAATAGTCACCTCCCCCTACAATTATTTGTTTCTTCCCTTTTTATAGCTCTTTTGGGATACGAGCCTTACCTTTGTCATAATAATGCTATTATGAGCAATTAATGACTTTAAATGTTACGTTATGCAATCATATACATTAAATACATATTCTCTAACGTTTCCAATAATTAATACTCATTAAATGCTGTATCTGGGCTCCTTTTTGCTGTTAGATTCATTCCTTTAATTCTTCACTATCTTTGAGTTTTAAATGTCTTGAATAGGTACGAGTGTTGAATTACTTGTATGACTGCTCACACCCCCTCCATTTAATTTACTCGTATCTGTTTTTGCTCGTATCTGTTGTTGCTCGTATCTGTTAACCAACCTTATTTCTTTGACTGTTTGACCAGTCTATACGTCATGACACGTCACCATATACATAAATATAATTTTTCCCAATACAGATAGTCCCCCCACTTTCCATTTATTCATCGGTTTGAATATTTGGGAAGTGGAATTCATTTAAGGGAGAATTTTTGTCACCATTAATGCTCTGACAGAGTTTGACGCTTCACTTATTACTTTCATTTAATGCGCTAAACACGTGTCATCTTCTTATTGGTCATACAATTGTATAGCACTTTCTTAGGCTTTCTTTTCGGCTTCCCTGTCCACGAAGTGTCAGTTATCATTATTATGGACTTCCCATCACTATACTCTTTCCTTCTGACGGTCATTCATCGGTATAAATATAACTTCCATCTTTGTCTTCTACCATTTCAAGCGTATTGAACACTTTAATTTTTCAAAACTTTTATTCACTTCTTCTTCACTTCAATCTCCTTTGTCATGGCTTCTCCGAACCCTAACCCTAGAAGAACTCCTATTTTAGACAGCTTTCCCAATGCTCCCGTTAGGCATAGAAGAGGTAGTGGTGGTAGACTCCATAGTTTGGGATCTGTCCGTGGTAGTAGTTCACTCACACCTTCTTCTAGTTCTGGCCCTTCTTCTAGAACTGGAGGATCCCATTCTCAAAGGTTTTCTTCCAGAAACAAAGAATCCTCTGAACCCTTACGCGAACGTGGATGAAATAGTTCCAACGGACTTATCTTTTTACCATGACAGGGAATCTCTCAGAACTCAAGTCACCTCTTTAAATCGAGTTGATACTTATCCTTCTCAAATTACTGACCCTTTAATCCCCACTCGTAGAGATTGTCATTGGAGTGATGATTTCGCTATCATCATTCCCAATCCAAATCAGAGAATCACCTCCTACATTATTGGATTTTCTTTTGTTTATACGTATCCCTTTACTTTAGGGTTTAAACCAGCCATTGATCCAGTTATTCTAGATTTTTGTCGCTTTTTTAATGTCAGCTTGGGTCAAATTGGCCCAATCGTTTGGAGGGCTGTCGCCTGCTTAAGGCACCTCACTAACTTGGCAGATGCCGAATTTACTTTTCCCCACCTAGTTCATCTCTATTCCCCTAGGCTTTTTTGCAACGGCGTTTTTACCCTAGCAGCCAGGAGCAAAAGGGTTTTAGTGAGCCCTGAGGACGATAAAGACCGTGGCTGGTATGCCCGATTTGTTGCTGCCCCCACTGCTGGTTTAGTGGGTGAAAATAACATTCCCTTCCCAGAGAAGTGGAACTTTGCACGTAAGTATTAAATCTTCCTCGTGCCTTTCCCTTTCAGGTTTTATCACCTTTTCTAATGTCGCTTCTTTTTCCTTTCTCAGCAACCATGGGTGTCGTGGAAATCGTGCCCAATTTCCGTGGTTGGGTAGGAAAATTGTTGAAGGCCGCTCCAATGGAGGGTAGGTCGTGGAAAAACCTTTCCAGCCGTTATGGTTGGAAAGTAAAAACTCATGGTAAGGGTTTCTATTTTTCCTTGTTTGTATCTAAATATCTTCTTTGTTCTAACTTTTATCCTTCTTTTTATTAGGATTTGCTATTCGTGGGGTCACCTCATAGTCGATCATAGCTGCTCGTGACTCTTTGAGTAGTCGCACCTCTTCAGCCCAAGATGTATTCTTGGGTTCTTCAAAAAGAAAAGCTATTAAAACTGAAGAAGAAGATTCAGAGGAGGAAGATGAAGGTTACCTGGTGATGAGGCCTCGAGCCCGAAGACGTATCGTCTCTGATGATGAGGCTGAAGTTTCCCCTCATCTATCTCCTTCCAAGTTTGTTATTACTCCAGTTATCATTCCTGATGATGACGTCTCTCCTCACGACACTCGTGAGTCTATTGATCAACTTTTTGCTAGTGGTTTTGGTAGTGAAAACTTAGGACCTATTTTAGATGAAATTCCCTTATCTTCTTCTTCATCTCCCATACCTATGATTGCTCCTTTACCTTCATCAACTGTTGCTTCTGTTCCTCCTTCTATTGCTCCTCCTTTGTCTGTTCCTCCATCTATTGTTCACCATACAGAGGTGGGCTCTTCAAGTAAGAGTACTACTATGAGGAGCGTAACTATTGAAGTTCCTGCTAACAACAGCCTCTTGAGAAAGTCTGGTCAGGCTGATATTTGGCTCGAGCCTTTGATTGGCCCCATTGAAAAAACAAAACTTGAAAGCCACAGCAACCTGACCCTCATGAATGACATAGTGCATGCTACTTTAAAGGTATTCTTCTTTCCTATTTTTCTCCATTCTATAAAAATTTTCGACTCTGGGATTTTCACTTCTCTTTTATTTGCAGGCCAATCTTATTGGCACTGAGCTGATGAGCAGAATCTCCCTCTTGGAGAAGGTAGCACGTGATTCTCAGTTTGAGGCAAACAACTGGAAGGAACAGTTTGGCAGTGTTCAACTTGACATGGAGGATTTACAAGAGAACAAGAGTGCCTTAGAACAACAGGTTCGAGCACTTACTTCCGAGTTGGGGGTCATCAAGGCTTCGTTGAATCAGGGGGAAAAAGAAAGAGAACGTCTTGAGACTTCATTTTCTCAACAATTATCCAAGGCCAGTGAAGAAATCAGGGCATTGAAGGATCTTTTGAAC